ATCAACCGCAAAAACAGTTCATCTAATGTGTTTGGTGGATTAGGTAGTTGTCGTAGTCGTCTGCCTATAATGTCCCAAACATGTTCTATTGAGTTGAGGTCAGAACTTATCGCAAGTCAATCTATGACAGGAATTCCAACCTCCTGACGATACTGCTGCCCAATTCTTGCCGTGTGTCTCCTGGCATTTTCTTGCATAAGCATGAAATTATGGACATGCTCGTCTAAAATATCTGTTATATACCTCTGCGATATAAGCCGACCGCGATCTATTCTAACTAATTCCGTACGAGCCTCTAAATTAATCCCACCCCACACCATTACCGAGCCGCCGCCATACTGTGCAGTCCTTACGGTGTATCACTGTGCGTAGCGCTCCCCAGGCCTTCTATACACTCGGTTTCTCCTGTCATCAGAACAAACACAGTACCGGGATTCATCGGTGAACCATTTTCTTCCCCAATCGTCATTATTCCAATCAACAAGTTCACGAACAAAATGCAATCTTTGCCTTCTATGGTCTCGGGTCAATAATGAGCCAATTGGTGCCCTTGCAGGGTGTAGGTAGTGTTCAGCAAGTTTCTTTCGAATCATATTTTGGCTGATTCTTAAGTTGTAACGATCCAAAAATTCATTTTGTAGATAAGTACTGGTAACAAACCTTTGTCTTAGTGTACGAAGTGTCAAAAACCAGTCTTGATTAGGAGTTGAAACCCTTATATGACCTTGACTCGGTCTTCTCGAGTTATTTCTAGTAACAGAACAACGTGTTAACACTCTTGAAATGGTTGACTGGGTGACGTTAAAACGTTCAGCGAGTTCTACTTGAGTGTATCCTTCGTCGCGAAGAGTAACGATTCTTAAATAGTCACTTTCTGACAAATTTCGATTTTTTTTTCTGCTGGTGGTTCCTTGCAAAGAAAAAACACTTAATAAACTTGAAAAACCCCTTTAAACATTCAGCACAACGTAATGCAACCCAACTAAATTCGAAATAAAATGAAGCACAATTAGCATGTTTTTAATTTTTTTGCAAAAAATGGTAAAAACATCAGCGTTTCTTACCGTTCTTTCGATAAATTTTACAATATACCGGGGGTAACAATAATATATTAGCACAAAGATTGAAACATTAAATTTATTTGATTTGCCATGGTTTTTAAAATTATGCGTTAATTTTGGGGTGCAATGTATATAAAATTTCACAAAGAAAGCATGACATTAGATAATAATTAGTAAAGTTTAACAAAAACTGATAATTAACTTGAATACAAACTAATATCACACAAATAGCAGTCTCTTTATCACATTTTTAAATTGTTCTAATGAGTAAGAGGCTTGAAGTATTCATAATTAAATTGATGAAATGGTAGATGAAAGAACGAAGTATGCCTAGGTCTATGAATAGTGTTAAGACCTAATCGATTTAAAAGTTCAGCGCAATTTATCAAATTATTAGCAATTTTGTAAAGAAATATTAGGCAAAAATAATCCTTTCGCCGATTCATAGAAACCATTTTCAAGTGATCAGCTATCATACTATAACTATATGAGAGACAGAGGTTATGAAAAGCACTACGGTAATGATAGTGTTTACCAAATTTATGCTGAACACGATCAAGCTTGTCTATAGATGTGTATATTGATAGTAAGGTTCCCATACAACTATTGCATATTCTAGTCTGGAGCGAATAAAACAAAACATGAAAATTGAGAAGTGTTTCTAGATATAAACCCTAATTGCTTAAATGCGCTGTTTACTGTGGCCTCTAGATGCTTACAAAATGCTAATTTACAATCAAAATAAACACCTAAATCCTTAACACAGTCCTGCCTAGACAGCCGAGTGTTACTAATACTATAATCGTAATTTAAAATTGTTTGCTTCCTGTGAAAAGTAATAACACAACACTTATCAATGTTCAATTTTAATTCATTTAGTTTGCACCAATCGCTAAATCTGCTGAGATTCTCTTGTAGCTGAATTTGATCATACTGGCAAGTAATGACTTTATAAATTTTTTTATCATCAGCAAAGTTGAGAAATTTTGAATACTTAATGGTTTTTTCAACATCGTTAACAAAGAGGACAAAAAGTAGAGGACCACAATGTGACCCCTGTGGTACTCCAGAGAGGACGTCAACAGATTGAGACAACACACCATTTATCTTAATGCTCTGGGTGTTACCCACAAGAAAACTATCATACCAATCAAGCCATTTGTCAAATATATAACTCCCTGATTAAATAACGATGATTTACTTTATCGAATGCCTTTGAAATCTTGTTGAATATAACATGAGGAAATTGGTGCTATCTATGAACAGAAGATTGCAAAGTTGTATTGACAATCATAGGCCTTCCACCAAATATTAATTGTGTTATGAGTACTGTTTATCATTATGTAATATAAAATAGATTTCAAAATAAATGGATATTTTTGACTTATTATTTTCATTATTAAAAAAAATAATCCATTTATTAAAAAGAAATTTCTTTCTATAATTTCAATTTTGCTAGATTTTGTACCAACCATTTTTGGTTTGACCCAATTCTGGCTCCGTCACTTAGAATTATCGTCACTTTGACGTACAATGTGGGTTCAAATGAGGTAGAAATTAAAAAAATTTATATATATTCGGTTTTATAACGTCTTACAACGTTGTCCGACTCAAAAACGCCACTGTATTTTGTCTTGAGTTGGGTCTTCGTCCAGATTTCAAGCGCTAATCGCTTTCCTAACTCCCAGGTTCGAGCTCTGTGGTGGTCTTCCTCGTTTCCTCTTCTCTGGGGGTTGCTACATCATCGTTTTTTTAGGCAATCTTTCGTCCCTCATTTGGCTCACATGCCCATACCATATGAGCTGTTTTTTCTCAAATCCTCAACTATAGTGCCCTCTATACCCATTTGTTGTTTTATCACTTCATTTCGTATTCTGTCGGGTCTTGGTGTTCTCATCGATCTTCTGATGGCATCCATTTCCGTGGCTTCGACCTTTTTCTTATATTTCTCGGTTGTTTTTCACGTCTCAGCTCCATAAAGTAGGCTAGTTTTAACCATTGTCTCATGGATGTTCCATTTTCTTTTCTTTGATATTTCTTTACACCATAGAACTCCGTTCAAATATGCTATAGCTCTTCGTGCTTGTTCGTCTTTTCCACTACGGTCGAAGATGACGCCCAGGTATTTATATTCGTCACATGGATTTATTTTTTGATTGTCATCGATAGCGAGTTGTTCTGCTTCAGCTCCAATTGAGAGCTATTTTGTCTTTTCTAAATTGATATCTTATCCCCACTTCTAGTATTCTTCAATTAGTTTTCTAAGCATGTATTCCATGTCGTCTTTGTCATTTGAGATCACCACCTGATCATCTGCAAACTGTAGAGTATATATGTAATCCTGATCGTTTAATTGTATACCCATTCGTTTGACTTTCCTTTTCCATTGTTTCAGAGCTTCAGAGACATAAATCTTAAATAGAGTCGGAGAGATACAACATTCTTGTCTGAGACCCTTAGTAACTGCAAATTTTTCAGCTAAGAGGTTTCCGAATTTCATTTGGAAGTTTGAACCATAATATAGATCTTTGAGAGCACTAACCAATGTTTGATGTATGTTTGATATGCCCAGGACTTCCCATAGTTTATTTAGCGGGACTGTGTCATATGCCTTCTAAAGATCTACAAAAGCCATATGTAACTCTCTATTTGTCACAATTTTCTTTTCTATAATTTGTTTAAGACAGAAGATGTTATCCGTACATGAACGACCTGCTCTAAATCCTCCTTGTTCTTCTTAAAAAAATTTACCTATCCTAAAATTATACAGGCCTATTTTTCATTTAAACGCCCTTGCTAAGGTCTTCTAGAGGATTTTTAAGGAGAAACTCGTAGACTTTACCATACAAAAACAATATCACTCCCTCATTCCAATTCAGCTTTAAAGGAGGTCACTCTACCAACGCCGCATTGACTAAAATCGTTCCTCACATCACCCAACAATTAAATGAGAAAACATTCTCCTTTGGCATTTTTCTCGATGTTCAGAAAGCCTTCGATCATTTTGGCACGCTAAAAATCTACTAAGTAACTAATTAAGACGTAACAAAGTAAGAAAAAGTGTCGGAATGTTTTAAAAACAAACGCTAGCGTTAGACAGGAATATTTTGCGTGAAGTAAATTCCCAACTAAAGCGCTTCCCCTCCAACGAATACATCAACGATTAAATATTATAACCATATTGTAGAGGTCCTCCTCTTTGGAGTTATATGATTTATAAACTAAAAACCATCCGTCCCGAAAAGATCCTACAAACTGCAGGTTTATCTATTGGTAATGTATACATTAGACATCCTAAAAAGAAACTCTCTTTCCCATCCAGAAAACTACTGACCTCTGCCAGCAAGGTCTTCCCTGACAAATACATCAATTTCGTGAAGAAAAAAAGGTTTTTTTTTACCGTGTCTAGATAAACAGGTCAGTTCGAACTTTGCACACGGACTCGTACGGATTGGTTTTCTGTCGTTTTCCGATTTTATTGTACAATTATAGTTGTCTATAAGGAGGTAACAGACACAGCTGCCCTCATGCCCTCAACGCAATAACAAAACGTCAGTCAATAACAAAACAAATTTAAAAGTCCAAAAAGGAGACCAGTGCTGGTATACATAACCAAGAACAATTCTTGAAGAGGCACAATAAAATGACTAAATTGGAAATTCACCATAGCAACAGTCACTTTGAAGTAACACGAAGACAAGGCTGTACGTCAGCTATTCTATTGGATAGACGATTAGACTAGTGTTTTACAAAATATTGTTCTTTTACAGATGGATTACTTTGCAACAAGACAAGTGGTCGATAAAGTCTAATGGACTCTAGACAGAAAAAGAAAATAAGAACTAAAAGAAAGAATTAGGGAAATTTGTAACAATCACTAACCTTAATTAGTTATTAAACTATTGTGGCCATTTAGAATAATAAATATCAATTACTTACCTATAATAATATATTTCCTTACGTTAGAGCTATGAAGGAAACTATTTACACCGTCCAAACACACACACACTTTTATCTTGTATACATTGCAGCAATAAGTCTACTAACAATTCAGCTACCCGTGCGGTTATCAAAGGTAGATAAGACAGTTTTAATAGGGTTTCTACTGTCAAGTATACAATCGAATCTATAAGTACGACTGGTATAATTTTAACCTTTTTATCAATTTTCCCGAAATTACAATAAAAAAAATCTGTAAATTGATGACGTTAGACGACCGGTTGACGTTTCTACATGTGGCACTTTTCAAAATTTCAGGTGTAAAGTCAGTTATTTCTAGGTAATTAATTTGAACTGCCTTTTATTAGCATACGTTATCGCTACGACCTACACAAACCGAATTAGACTATATACATAATTAAATATTTGTGATTTGAAACGAGCATATACACAGAACTGATTGCTCTGCCAGGTGCGTATAAAGTAGTATATAATTTATCAATAATGCAGATAAAACTGAAGTCCTCAGTCAGTAGTTTGGTTAATCTTTTGAAGATATGTCAATCAATAACACTTAAAGTTATATACAGATTGTAATAGGTAAAAGTTTGACAACAGTTATTATGTCCGTCTAGATTAATTTTTCAGACAGTATTTGAAAGTTCGAAAAATGCCATAGAGTCCAAGATTCTAACTTCTTCATAATACATCGTGTTGTAGCAATCATCATAATTATTATTATCTTTGATTTTCTTCTTATGCGTGGTGGTAGGTAAGTCCAAAAACAAGATTTCGAGTAAATTGAAAAAAACATTTTAACGAAAGTTGTAATTTGGTTACACATTTTACATGTACAAATCGTTGGTAGATTTCATTATTATCCATTATTTAAAACCAAAAAACTCTAAAAATATGTATCATTTTTCTCTAAACATAAAAAATAAGTCATGGACTTGCACTGTTTTTCAACTCATTGAGCCTATTGAATTAAAAAGCAATAATTTTTAAGTTTTAATAGTTTTTTCTCTAGATAACATCAAATTTTAAATCATAAAACTAACGAAAGAAGATATTCTTGATTAAGAATGAAACTTATGCAAAAGATATACATTTAAGTAAGAAAAAGAAAAAAGCTCATCACCGACACTTAGATATTTTCAAATGGGCTTCGGTCCGTTTATTAGCCACACGCTTTCTGGAATTTTTTTTGTCAATTATGGAAATATACATTATTTTAAGCTATTTCCAAGAAACTTGCGGAATTTCCATTTGTTTAAATAAATAACGACTTTGAAAATTGAAAATTTCACACTTTCCAAATCTATAAAAATGTATAGTATCACAAATATTCCCTATAGTTTAAATTTTATGATATATTTTTTGAAGCGAATAATTTTTATTACGCAATATACATACATAAACACTTATAACTCTGCTCATCGACTTATATGCATACTATTTTTAGAATATGATAATCAAAATGCACTAATTAAACATAACTATTAAATAATAATGTAAAATGCAATTGATCAATAAATTATATATTACACTTAACAAATTTTGAAAAGTACTAAAATCATTAAACAAAATTTTTAAAGAAAAAATTAAGTTTTCCTAAATTTTAAAGAACTTAAATGTGCGGTGTTATTATAAAAAAATTGAACAATTCAGGAATATGATATATTAATAATTCATTTTTAACCCTTAACCCATTCACTGCGTATGACGCCATTTGGCAGAGCCATTTGGCGTCAGAGCTCCGTTCGAATTTACTTAGCCAGTAATCAAAATGCAGTGAGTGTGAGTGGACGTGGTGTTGTACGCATATTGTCAAAGGTGTATTTTAGGTTATAATACCATCAGTTTTTAATTCGAAAGAATTTTTCGCCGAATTTGCGAAATTAGATTATGGGTGACATGGACGATAATCAAGCTGGTCCATCTGGCATAAAAAGGCGTAAAATAACTGTGAAAAACACCAAATGTTTGACGGTAAAAGAAATGATACAATATTTGTACGAATCGGAGAATGATGAAGATCTGAGCGATCCTGAGTAAGATGATGAGTCTTCAGAAAGCGACCGGGAAAATGATGATGGTAAGTGTTTTAGTGTTTTAGGGATATGCGGTATGATTCATTTGGTTTTTTTAATTGTAGTCGATATTGTTTCGATAAATGAAGATATTGATGACATGGAAAATACCCAAACTGGGGATTTAATTGTTGATTGGCAAGATGACGTCATAAATATAAAACACTTTCAATTTACGGGAAACAATAAAATGCTACTTAATCTCTCCATACGTGCCGAACCGTACGATAATTTTAGATTACTAATGGATGAAGAATTGCTAAGTAATATAGTAATAGAAACTAACGATTACGCAATTAATCTTTTTCTTGCAAAGGGTTGTTCCGAAAAAGCTTGAATTTCTTTGTGGATAAATTTAGCAAATGAAGAATTACTTAAATTCATAGGATTTTTGTACCACATGGGGACAATTAATTTAAACAGAATCCAGGACGATTGGAAGACACATCGATTATTTAATTTGAAGTGTTTTTCTGAGCAAATAGGCCGAGATAGGTTTTTGCGCATTTTACCAAACCAACAAAATCTTGATGATCGTCTGTATAAAATTATACCAGTCCTTAATTATTTCAACAATAAGATGCGACAGATATATTATCCAGGCAAATATAATATAGGTATATTATCTGTGTCTTGACGAGTCATTGGTCTTCTGGCGTGGCTGATTTGTTTTTAGGCAATACATAGCGAACCAGACATATAAATACGGATTGAAATTATACATGTTAACTGAACCGAGTAGTCTAATTTTCAATTTTGCCATATACACTGGACAATTAGATGCCTTAGGAGGTAAAGGACACGCGCAAAAAGTTGTCATGCATTTATTGAACCCTTATTTAAATAAAGGACACTCAGTATTTATGGATAATTACTACCACAGTTGTGATTTAGCAACTACTTAACTGAGTAATAAATCCTACTGCACTGGGACGTTACGCATTGACAGGAAAGGTACACCCAAAGAAGTTGTTGGCACCAAATTGAAAGTTGGCGAAACGAGAGCTAAATATTTTTTTTTATTGAGTTAATGCCTCGACAACTATGATCATTGGAATGGTACAGTCAGGTACCTGGTGTAGTGTGTGTGTGTGTGTGTGTGTGTGTGTGTGTGTGTGTGTGTGTGTGTGTGTGTGTGTGTGTGTGTGTGTGTGTGTGTGTGTATGTGTGTGTGTATGTGTGTGTGTATGTGTAGAGTAATTGTCTTGATACTTAGCAAAGTCGACGTCATTGTCTTTGCTAAGAGACGCTAATTGTATCCGAACGTCTGCGGTCCCTCTGGTGAGTACCAATCGCACAAGGATAGAAATTATTTTCATTCATTAATTTTCCATAAACGAAACTTTCCACCCAGGTGAGATTCGAACTCACGACATTTAGATTTAAAGGTAGGCGCTCTTACCACTGAGCCACAGAGGGGGTTAGACCTAAATATTGTAGTGAAATCATGGTAGGAAAATGGAGGGACAAACGGGATGTTACTTACATCTCAACAGAATTTGTGAATACTATGACAGAGGTAAATAATAAAAGGGGTATTGCAAAGGTGAATCCTTTACCAATTGATAAATATAACAAGAACATGGGTGGGATAGACAAGCAAGACCAAATGATGTCCTATTACCCATCCCTTCGGATGACACTATTTTGGTGTAAAAAGTTAGCTGTTCATGTATTTCAACTACTCCTATTCAACTCATATATATTACATCAAAATTACTCTGGCTCGAAAATGAACTTTTATGATTTTCGGTTAGCAGTTATTGAAAAATTATTACAGGTGCTTTCTGAAGAGTCTAACAAACGACAAGTAGCAAAGCACATCACAAGCAAAATAAAAACAAATGATACTGGAAGACGAAGACCTCGAAAGAGATGCCGTGTATGCAGTGAAAACAAATTAAGGAACTATACTGTTTTGGAATTCCAAGTTTGTCAAGATAAGCCTGGATTGTGAAACGATCCTTGCTTTAGGTTATTTCATGAGAACATTGTTTAATTTTTACTTATTTTAAATATGTTTTTCTGTGTTACTTACTGTTCGTCATTTTTTGTGAATTACGCAGTAAAAAAATAAAATTATGTTGGTTTATTGCTTTTTTATTGGTATATCACTCATTTTTACCTAAAAATGAAATTTATTTAACGCAACGCTATTTGGCGTCATACGCAAAATTCCACAAACATTACAGTATATGCGTATGACGCATTTAGGCGTTTGTTATAAAAACTATCATTTATGATATTGACACCTTAGTATACTTATAATACAAATACATTAAACGGGTAAAAGAAAGTTTTAATTGAAAAAATCATGTGCAGTTCCTTGGAATGGTCAATGGTCAAGGAGCAGGTACACGCAGCGAATGGGTTAACTGTTGACGTGCGGTCAAAATGGCGTATCGCAACTGCACGTTAACTTGGGATCCCCACTTACTTTAAATTTGTACGGTAGACATTCTCCAGAGTACCTTTCAGTTTAGTCTTAATCATCGAAAGTACATAGCAGAAATTTGTTGCGTTTTCGAGCGATATATTTTGAATTACCACGTGTAGAAAATCACAATACGTCAAATTGTCGGCACATCACAATTCACGTAACCACTTCAATAAATTGTGCAATATAAAAATGGCCAGTTCACGCAGGAAAATAAAAGTAAGTGATGCAGATTTTAGTAATATTAGTAAATTTAGTAATTATAGTAATTTGGTAATAGATGCATTATAATAGTATAACGAATGTGACAGTAACCTTGATAATTCTGACGATAGCATATTGGATGAAACTTTTATACCTAGTGAGCAAGAAGGTGATAAATACAGTAGTGAAGTTTTGTTACCTTCTGAAGAAACAAGTACTAAACCTGAAAGCGAGGATAAAGGAAATAACGATAAAAAATATTTTTATGATAAAAATAGATTTAGGTGGTCAAGCGTTCCTCCTGCAAAAAATGTACAGACTTTTTTTAAGGCTTTTGGAAACACTCATTTACAAATATATAGTCTATGTGATTTTTGAACACTCGCTCGCGGTTATTGGCATCATCAAATGGGGCTTTCCAAGTGTACAGTCGTCGCTTGGGTAATTTATACCAGGTGTTTGCAATGATCATATCGTTTTTTTTTACAAAATTCATACAATCTCTGTTCTCGATCGTTAGGTTGTCTTAGACCATAAGGACCTGCAGTCTGACCTCGTCGACCTTCCCCAATTTTTGCATTGAAGTCGCCTATAATATATACAATTTCGTGTTTATTAAGTTTCTGCAAGTTGTCTTGGATCTGATCGTACAACTTCTCAACTTCATCGTCATATTTTCTATCTGCAGTCGGGGCATAGATTCGAAGTATGTTAGTTTTAAATCGTTGTTTATATTGTATACATTACATAACATACATACACACGCACACACACACATGATCTTAAGATAACTTTTTATCTTTTTCTTCAACGATATTATTAATTGATATGACTTTTTAAACTTTTTATGAACGTCGTAATCCTTTATTCCTACCATCGTTTATTTTTATTGTGAAAAGGTTTTCTTTAATTTTTTTTTCGTCCTTCGTCAAACCAATAAATTTTAGCATGATTGCGTAATTTTTTGGCCGGAGAATGAATTAAAGGTAAGTTTACATGTGTTTGAGTTAGGCACACAGTTTACATAATTCTCGGAAGCTCTGATTATCTCCCAATTTCATAGTGGAAGAAGTCATGTCGGAAATCATCATCATCAAAAACAACTGTTCATAAAATGTCAAGATAGATACAGTCTTGCTGAGTTAATCGCCAACTCAAGGGGACTTGATAGGGCATGTTAAGAAGAAGAAACACTTTGTCATTATTAGGGTATGTTATTTGTGATGGTCTTGTGCGTGTCTTACCACTGTAACTCTGAAAATTGTTAATTTACATTTTTTTTACATAGTATATATGTACTATTGCTCTTTAATAACTAATATAAAAAGATATGAAGATATTTTAATGATAATTAAAAATTACTTAATATATATCACCACCTTAACCACTACTCCGTCGATCGGTTTATGATTCAACAATTTATATTATTATTATTCTAAAGAAAAAATATATAAACAGAGATAATCGATACAGTATTTTTCTTTACGATGCGAGTATTTTAAATAGAAGTATATTATTTATATTATAACGCCATACTTATTCATTATTTTTATGGCATAACTTTTTATTTGCGAAATAAGTACTATGTAATCTTAATAAGGTTGGTAGTATGTAGCTTTGTAAACAAATCATTTTATCGCATTTTGATAGATACAGAAACTCGAAACAATTTAATACTTAGGATATTAATATTCAGTTAGCGACTGGTTGGTAAGTACCTTCATTTTGTAATCTTGGTAATTTGATAGGATCGCGGATTAAGTTAAAATAGTACCATTGACATTAAACGTTTAAATCAACGATAAAACTTTACTAATCTCTTGTGACTCATAATAAATAATAACAATCATTCATATGTTTTTCGGTATTATTCTTGAAAATACATTCATAGTTTATTTTGCTATCAAAAATAAAATTATTGTATAAAGTAAAACTTATGTGCTAATGTTTGACCTTTTACAGCACTTGATAAAAGTTTAAGGTTATGGCCTTGTATTTTGTAGGTTAAGATTACAAAGTTTTGTCAATTATGTTTTTGTTTTTTATTGGTCTTCTGATCACTTTGTTAAGGTAATTTACTTTAGGCTTCTTTGAGATCATTACATGATCTTCAGCAAAGATTCTGAAACCGTTTTCCTATGGCAAGTTATATATTATGTTTATATGGGATTAAGTCACCATTTATTGTAATGAAAATTACATTTTATAACTGCTGTTTGACGTTTCGATTTTCTGAAGTTGAAAGTTCAGATGGTTCTTGTGTGTGTGTACCTTCAGGATGATACCACATTCTGATTATCTTGTGTGTTTGTGTATTATGTGGTGAATGTCTATGTTTTGTGTGTTGTAGGAAAGTCGCCCTGTTGCATTATCTCAAAATCTCTTCATAGTTTTCTCTAATTTACTGCCCAAAACTAAAGGTTTCTAACAGAAAATAGTTCTGTCTAAACCATATATTTACTTTCATTGTATACTACTAGATGGAACCATATAATTATATATTTATTTGTAATATGATTATCCGACTGAAAACTATTATAGAAAGGTAAGTACTGACAGTGTTAAAGTGAAATTTGGCAGGTATGTTTTTGAATAGTTGTAGAATAAGCTCCAGTATTTTAATTGAACATACCTACCAAGTCTTTTTTTATTTTAATCGCATAACCTTGAATATGAAGGTTGCCTAATTTTTAATAGGAAAAGTATCTTAAAATTGGGTATCCAAAATTAAGAACCCAATTATATATGTAATTCAAAACATATTTATCTATACATTTTTTTTTCAGTAAAATGCTTACAAAAATAGAATCCAGCACATATGAAAAATGCTATTGACGCTATTAAAAGTAAAAAATGGGATGCTTAAAGGCGTCAACTGCTCGCGCTCTTGTTGTGGCTGTAATTCGCAACACAATTAAGCCTCTTGAGCCGTCTATCTGGGTTGGTTGACAAGAAGCTAAAGTACTTCATGTTTGGGATGCTTATGAAGATGATTCATGTCTCCTAGCGACTTTCTTAATTTGATTTGGAATTTATTCGACTTTAAGGTTTTTACGTAAATCATCATTCCGAACATACCAAGGAGCACCTACAATATTACTTAGTATTTGGTTCTGGAACGTTTCTAAATTTCCTTAATTGCTTTTTTTGGTATAGCCCCAGATTTGTAGGCCATAGGCACACGCTGGTTTCTATATCTGTTTGTAAATCAGTATATATATATATATATATATATATATATATATATATATATATATATATATATATAGGTGATTAGTTCTGTTTCTTCACCAACCCCTCTAGTACTTCTTTATTTGTAATTCTATCAGTTGATGGTATTTTCAGTACTCTGCGGTATAACCAGAGTTCGAAGACCTCGATTCTTTTTAAATTACATTTTTCTAATGTCCAAGTCTCAGCTCCATATAATAATATTAAAAATATATAACAGCGAATGGTACGTAGTCTGATCTCCAAATTTAGATTTTTGCATATTAGGAGTGACTTCATGCGTATAAATGCTGATCTGGCAATCTCTATTCGCCTGTTTATTTCTACAGTATGATCATTGGTTTCATTGATCAAAGTTCCAAGTACTGAAATTTTCTACTTATTCTATCACGTTACCATTGATTGTCAATAGGTGATGTATATTTTGTGGTCTTTTGTAATTAGCATGTACTTCGTTTTTTTAGCGTTTATAGTAATTCCCATCTCAGCACTATTCATACTCAAGCTTTCGATGAGATGTAGATCCTCTATACTCGTTGCTATGATCACAGTGTCGTCTGCATATCTTAAGTTGTTAATTAATTTTCCGTTAACGGTGACTCCCGCTTCGCTATTATTGAGCGTGTTACGGAAATTGATCGTATTCTATGCCATTAGGTAGTAATTGCCGAAGACAGCTACGATCTTAGCTATATGGCAAGAAAACTGCAAGAAGAATATGAGGTGGCAGGTTTAAACATGAATATGACAAAATGTGAATATTTCTCAGAGGGAACAGATGAAATTTGTGACCTAGTCTTGGAAGACGACAAAATCAAAGGCGTGCAATCCTGCAAATATTTGGATGTCATTTTCAACAAGAAGGGAAATAGCGCAGATAAAATCAGGGAAAGAATAAACAAGGGCAGAGCAGCGACCCGTGCCTTAAACTCTCTTCTCTGGCAAAAAACAATTCGACAAAAAACCAAAAAACACATTTACGGTAGTATAGTTCAAAGTCCAGTTTTTCAAAGAAAACTGGAATACCTAGGCCACGCGATGAGGGGACCAAAATATGAAATTTTGAGACTGATAATACAGGGAAAGATTCAAGGAAGAAAATCTGTTGGCCGAAGGCAGAACTCATGGTTAAAGAATCTACGTGATTGGTATCAATGTAGATCAATTGATTTGTTTAGAGCAGCAAGTTTTAAAATAAAAATAGCCATTATAATTGCTAACCTTCGTGGGGAGACGGCACTCTAAGAAGAAGTCCAAAGTATTACACTTTACGGTTCGGAATTATGGGACGTCACCAAACCTAATAGAAACAAACTTATGACGACAGAAATGGACTATCTGAGATGAAGCTGCGGTAGATCGAAACCAGAGAGAGTCAGAAACGAAAGAAACGAAATGAAAATGAAGCGAAATATCAATGATGACATAGAAAGAAAGCAATTAATCTGGTTCGGACATGTTAAAAAAATGCCAGAGTACAGATGATCTAGAAGAGTACTGGAATTGATCCCTCCTGAAAGAAGAAAGAGAGGACGACCACGGAGAAGTTGGCGCAACGATATTGATGAAGCAATGGCGGCAAGAGACTTAAAAGACTTAAAAGGCAACTGCATATGACAGAAAAAGATGGAAATTGGGGGCGGAAAAGCAGCGACAGCCGTAATCAATCCGTATAACTATATGCCATTGATTGCATTTTGTAGGTTAACCGTAGATTCTTCTACAGTTGCTCCTATTGTCAGGACGGCTGTATCATCAGCAAATGTGGCTAGTTGAAAGTTTCCGAAATGTCAAATATGTACAAAAGGCAAGAGGTATAGTACTGGTCCAAGAACGTTACCTTGTGGAACCCCTGTGCTTATTGACTATAACTCAGAGTGTTCGTTTTCCATTAAATGTTCGCTGGTGTAGGTATGACTGCAATGATTCAACGAGTTGCATAGAAAATATTTTCTTTAGCTTTATTCACAGGCCGTCGTGCCATACTTTGTTAAATACTTTTGCGATATCTAGGAATACTGCTGATCAAATTTTGTCCGCTTTCAATGCTTTCTTTATTCCAGTTATTGTTCGATGGATCTGGTCAACTGTGGAGTATTTATCATGAAATCTAAATTGGTGCGTTCACTCTTAGTAGTAGCAATTTTTCAAGTAGCAAAACACCTTTGAGATTTTGGATAGTAAGGATATTGGCCTGTATGATGTTAATCCATGAATATATTATCCTATTTGGGGTATCATTATGACCTCTGCGGTTTTTTAAGGGATGGGAATATATCTAAGTCTAAAAGATGCATTTATTACTGTAATAAGCTTTACTATGACTTTTCTTGGATTTTTTTTAGTATCTCACTATTGATTAGGTCAAACCCAGGCGCTTTTTTTGTATTGATGTTATTGATTATATTTTGAACTTAACTTCTTTTGTAGTAGTCAATGGTATGTTAATAGAATTAGTATCTACTCGTTCATCGTCTACACGAGTTTCTCCAGGAATTGATTGAAATATATTTTCTAAATAATCGGCGAACGCATCCACCCACTTTCTCTTTGGGATTTCTTGCCCATGTTGTGTTTTCTTTTCGTAAAGGACGTATATGTTGAACTGGGGTATTTATCTTTTGGCCGCCTTCCAGTGTGAGTAATCGGTGCATTTATCATCAGTTAGTTCTTTCGGGTACTTACTGATTGATTTGTTTTTAATTTTAGTGATTTCTCTTTACAGCTGTTGTGTAAGCCTGTTTAGCTTATTTTTATTTTTAGTTATTCGAGTCCTCTGCTGTACCTTTCGAGCCTTTCTTTTTTTTCTGAATCAATTTTCTAATTTCTTTGGGGTCATTTTTTCCTACTGATTTTTTTTGGATATTATTTGAATAAATCCATTGAACTGAATTATCTCATTCATTTCTAATTGCAAGGTTCCGCAGTCCATAAACTTATTGGCCAACGCAAGTTTCACTTCAGTGGTAATAATTTGCTATATGCAAATAATTATTGGTTAGTAGAATTGGGGAGTGGAATATGAAAAAATGTAAGAGGTTTGGGATTCTGTTTGCATCAGTAGGCCGGTTAGAGGGGTTTGCCAGTCGAATGTTATCTACATTTGTGTCCAGTCACAATATGCTGCAATTATTTACCTTTAGGTGTTGAGAGCCAGGAATCCCAACAGGTATTTTTTGCATTCAAGTCTGCACTAACTATGTATTTTTCAACAAAGATTGATAAGAAGATAGCATAGTCTTTTCTTTTGAGGTTATGTTTAGGAGGGAATTATGCAGCTGCAGTTTTTATTGTGTATTTCTTAGTCTTAACACTGATACCTATTTCTTAGTCTTAACCTTGCAGCCTAATAAATGATTGTCTAGTAAGATGTGTTTCTGCAATTAGGCATATATCTATTTTCTGTGTTTGTAAAGTTACGAATAACTCTCTTGCTTGTGTTGTAAGAGTCCTTTTGTATTCCATTAGGGTATCCTAAGGTCCGGTGACATTATGGTTTCATTAAAATCAGCTTCTGATGTTTTCAAGTTTGTCCAGCCTTTTAATTTCTTTTATATTAAATTCTTCTGGTTTACTCATTTTCTCCAATATTTTGGCAACATTTCAGTTACTGTAACTGTATTATTTTCTGCTTCTGGTTATGTTACTTGCGCGTAAGATATACCAGCACTTCTTAAGGTTCAGATTAATAAAATAATGATAATAGAAATGGGTTAACACCCACAATCAACGTGGTAAACAAGATTCGCATGACTAGAAGGACTATGGATCGCTGAACGTTGGGTGTCTTTCTGAAATACCGAATCCCAAAGAAAGAAATACGTCGTAGAATAAAAACAACAGACGCCATGGACTAAAGTACGTCGCTAAAATGGTATTGGGCAGGACACGTCGCCAGAATATCTGACAACTAATGAAAAAAACGTATTGTTAACTGGAGGCCCAGACAAGTAGTACTGCGGAACAGAGGTCCCCCATCAACCAGATGGGCTGACGATCTAAAGCATGTTGGCAGTAACTGGATGCAATCCACACAAGACAGAGACAGATGGAAAGAGCTAAGGCAGATCTATATTTCGTCCCTACCATTTCCAACTATCGAATGTGAAAAGTGGTACTTTTCAGGAGAGCAAAATAATTTTTTTTTTAGAGAATTCTAAATCAGCGCTTTGACAAATGGAAAATTTTTTATATTTTTAAAAATTAATGTTTGATCCTTGTTAGATTGATATCAGAATAAAACTGCTTACCGTTTGCTTCTTTCCACAAAATCACATTCGTTATTTTGCTTTTTGTGTTAATCTACGATTTGTTTTGGTCCAATGTTTTAAAATTGCGAATGTGGCATTTTCGACAGTTCATATTTGTATAATTTTAGCACATTTATTTGGTGCAATGTTTCAAAATTGCGAATGTGGCATTTTCGACAGTTCATATTGGTCTAATTTTAACACATTAATATTCTTAATTGAAAAGGAGGAAAATGAAAATAATCTCAATGTTCTTACAAAGTTTATTACAAATAATTTAATTAAAAATTAAAGTTATAGGGTAAAATGGGAAAATCATGTATAAAGAAATTATTAAAAGTATTTTTATGAAAGTACGTATTGATAGAAAATTAATGTAATTAGAAAACTTAAAAATAATCACAATACAATTATGGAACTTCACGTCCTGTAGATACCTCAAGTAATCAGTAGTAAAATAATGATAAATTAAAGTAAAGTCTTAAATTTTAGATTCAACGTTATCATTGTCTTCAGTTGCGTCAGGTTCTGGAAGACAATCTCTGGCAGTATTAGATGTTGGTAAAGATTGGTAATATTGGTGGTATGGCCTAGGTATTAAGTTTTGTTCACATAGTGACAAGAGGTTTTTTTTTCTTCATATCCGTGATTGGGAGTCTTTCGTCGTATGCCTTAACAGAGTTCATAGTATTTTGTTTGCCTCTTTTTTGTATGGTTTCAAGAGAAAAAAAGTTTCCGTCAATGCTAGTCTTCATGTAAAGTTTGTTATTTTCATTTTTCCGATACTGGTACCATATACACTGTGTGGACGACGTCCCAAAGGCAGCATTGTTTAATATTTTTTTAAATAATTCTCGCTTTGACAACATCACTGTTTTTGGTTTAGCTATACCCAGTTAACTGAATAATCAGATAATGAAAAACCGATAAAAACAAAATAATAAAGTTCCTCACCCAAAGGACTTCTTGGAAGAAATAATTCACACAATTATTGTGAATACGTGCGTTTTGTTCTTGTCAGCAATGTTTAGTATTTTTAACATTTTGCAAATTATAATTGAATAACTGTATCAATTACAGCTCTGAAACTAATGTATGTGACACATTAAAAAGCAAAATAATAAAGTGCCTCACCGAAAGAACTTGGAAGCAATAATTCACAAATTGTGAACACTTGCGTTTTGTTCTTGTCAGCAATGTTTAATATTTTCGACAGTTTGCAGATTATAATTGAATAATTGTATCAAATACAACACTGAAGATAATGAATGTGACACATTCGTCATTTTGCATTGTACATATATATGCCTTTAGTTATATTTATACAAAACAAAATATCGAATATTCCATTTTCGTCAGTTTGCAGCATATTCGATATTTTGACCAAAACAAAATGACAAAATGTTCATATTCGATGGTTTAGACAGAATATTTCCCGCGTTTCTGATCAAGCTACAATTTCGATATTTTGCTACAAGGTGTATCACGTTTAATGCAAGGACAAGGTATCGAATCTGAAAAACCCGATTTGTCACATTCGATAGTTGGAAATGGTAGGGACGATTTAGCAGTGGAAATAGGATAAGGAATGAAAACAGACTAAATAAACAAATAGTAAATTACAAACCAAAAGGAACAAGTATTGTAGGACACCCTTAAAAGTTGGATCGAAGTTTGATAATAGATTAGACAATTTATACCTAATCCCTGGAATTAAGAAGAAAAAGATATTTGTTCCAATATAATAGTTAACCATTATATCTATCGTAAAACTAAATAAAATTAAAAATAAGTAAAGTGATTTTTTGCTTTTAGGAAAGCCGTATTTTCAAAAGTGAAAATGTTCTATCATAAAAAAGTAAAATTGAAATTTTTTAATTTATTCAGTGTTTTGTGAGTTTGTAAAAGGATGTTTGTAAGCTATAAAATGTAACAATATACACCTGCATTTTTGTTTTCTTTTTAATACTTATATATTTTTTCATATCTTCGTAATATTTTCTACTTGTATTAGATAATTCTTTATTCTAATTTGTTATTGTACGGCTTTTACAATATTATTCCAACATTCTCTAAGTATTAGGACTTTTTAAAATTTTTAATACTTTCATGGGCATGAACAAAATATACTTACTACGATAAATATTCATACCAAAAATTAATTTGAAAGGTACGTTTTAACAACTGACTATTTAACTTTTTATTTAGGTTCATTTTTTCAAAATTTTAATGGTGGGAAATATTTTTTCCAAATGTTCAGTATTATCCATATTCCACATAACTGCGAGAAATTTGCTGATTAGTTGAGGACAGAAACATATACAGTGAAAAATATATTTCCTGCTTAAAAAATACACATAAATATTTTGGTTGGAAATATGTTTTCCACTAATATATACCATTATAGAACTTCATAAAATAACTTAATTGTGTACAAAATAAATCTTATTACTCACTTAACTCGTAAGTTACGAATTAAAATCTCACAAAACTGCACACAACAGACAACAATTTGATGAAAAACCCAACTATCATTTAAATGAATATTAATATCTGTACTGATGCCATCTCTGACCATATAGTGTAATTCAGGATACTTTGACAATATTTGGTGAGATGACAGCACTGATACTATATGTAAATTCTAATTCCCATCGCCCATAAAATAAATATTTGAAGGTGGGAATTTATTTTCCCACCGCCTATGAAAGGATGTAAAATCTCAATTTATAGAATATTTTGATTAGAATATTGATTGCTTTTTTTCTGTTTCAGCTGTAAAGTAGCTAAAAATGTGTGAAATCAACACAGGTTGTGCTGCCTTAGACCAGAAGGTAGCCGAATGGTTAGCTCTGGACAAAAATGAAACAACTTCTAACGATATGCGAAGCCTGCTACGTGAACAGAAATTTCAGGAAATAAATAAAATTCTCACCAAAAGACTTGGTTTTGGTACTGCCGGTTTAAGAGGAAAAATGGGTGTAGGATACGCTTGCATGAACGATCTGGTCATCATTCAAACTGCCCAAGGATTTTTTAATTATTTAGTAAAACTTGATGAAAAGTTATTAAAGGCGAATGGTATTGTCATTGGTTATGATGGAAGACATAATAGCAGAAGGTAAAATTATTATTATTTATTATTAGTTTTTATGTGTTATTTGATATTTCTTAACGAGTATATCAACAATGCAATAGTTTATATAATTTATTATCAATTATTTTTATCATGTTGGCTTAAAACGTCTTTGGAAATTTCTTGATGTCGGAAAATACCTTTCTACTTCCTACTTGAAAATCTACTTTATAACTTCCTACTGGGAAGTATATTCATTATTTTTTGGATGTTGGCAATCACGTTGGTCCATGCACATTTGTTGACAGCTGCTCTAAATAGATGTATGGTAGTCATTCCTACACACTGTCTGATGTTCTTCAACCACGATGTCCTTCTCTGCCCTTGAGATCTCTTGCCTTCTATCTTGCCTTGTAAAATTAGTTGAATTAGTTGATACTTCTCATTGCGCATCACATGCCCTAACTATGTTATCTTTCTGATGTTTACCATACGCATAATTTCCACATCTTTATTCATACGTTGGATCACGGTGTTGTTTGTAACATGATGGATATAGGACATTCTGAGCATGCGGCGGTAGCACCACATTTCGAAGGCTTCTAATCGTTTGCATGTTGCCTCCGTCAATGTCCAGGCTTCGACTTCATATAAAAGGGTAGAAAATACATAGCATCTCAAAACTCGTTTTCTTATATCAATGTTCATGTGCATATTACATAAAATCTTCCTGAGACGATTGAAGACAGCTCTCGCCTTTTCTATACGACATCTTATTTCCTGTGAGTGGTCCTATTCCTTATTTAGGCTGAATCCAAGATATGTAATTTTGTGGACTATTTTCAAGGGTTCATTATTAGCTATGAATTTGTGCTGTATTACGTCGTTTTTACTTACTGGAAGAATTTTGGTCTTCTTACAGTTTAATTTCATGCCATATCTGTCACAGGCTTCCACTACACGGTCTGTTAATGTTTGCAGATCCTTCGCATTATCAGCAATCAAAACCGTATCGTCCGCATATCTTAAATGGTTATGATTAAACTATTGATTTTATACCTTCTCTTAAACCATCAATAGCTTCACTGAACAGCATTTCTGAGTAAGTATTGAACAACGTCGATGAAAAAATGCAGCCCTGACGTACTCCCCGTTTTATCGTGAATTCTTGTGAGGTTTCGTTGTCTACTCGTACAGTTTCCCTTTGCTGTAAGTATGAATTTTTAATTTGGCGTAAATCTTTGTCATCAATACTAGATTCTTTCAGTATCCGAAATAAGTTTTGATGTTGCACCTTGTCAAATGCTTTTTCAAAGTCTATAAAGCATGCGTAGACTTTGAAATTTACGTCTCGAGCTCATTGTGTCAATACTTGTATAGAAAATAGGGCCTCTCGCGTTTCCAGTCGGCTTTTAAACCCAAACTGAACACTGCTAATGTTTTCTTCAAGTTTTCTATATATGCGAGAGTGAATAACAGAAAAGGATTTTAAGTGCATGGCTCATTAAGCTTCTGTAATCAGAGCTGATGGCATTTGCCTTTTTGGGGAGAGGGACGAAGGTGGAAACTAGCCAATCTGTAGGAAATTCTGCAGTTTCATAGATTTTGATCAGTAGACTCGTTAGGAGTTTGAGTTGGTTGTTTTCAAATAGTTTCAATATTTCAGCTTGTATGTTATCAGGTCCAGGTGCTTTGTTGGTTTTTAGCCTTTTTATTGCATATGTTACTTCACTGAGCGTTATTTCTGGTCCTGAACATCCAGAAACACTTCTGTCTCTTGCTCTTCCATGAATAATTCTTCCATGTAATGCCTCTATCTCTCAAGAATTTTCCTATTTTGGTAGAGCAGTTTCGAAGTTATCCGTGATCCGTTTCCTCCCGTTAAGTGATCTTTTTATGTAGGTTAAAATTGTCATGCTTCTGTTCTAGGGATTCTATTTCTATGCATTCATCTTGTAGCCATGATTATTTTGTTTCTTTTATCTTTTTCCTAATGATTTTGTTTATTTCTTTGTACCTTTCATCATTCTTATTTCTGTGTTTTCTTCGTTCTTCCATTAGCAATATTTCTTGTCTCATCCACGGCTGTTTCTTTATATTGTTTTCTGGTTTAAGTTTATTATCTACCACTGAATTAAAGATATTTTTGATTTTATTTCACATATCACCAAACTTATGTTTTCTTGATTAATATCTAAAATTACTATGCTGTTTATTTTGGTGTTGATCGTCTCTTTGACTTTCAACTTTTGGATGTCCGGACGTTTTTGTGCTTTTCTTTTATGTAGTTTAATGCATAAACATGTATAAACAATGTTTGTTGTTTTAGATGGGCGGAGCTAACAGCCTCTGTATTTCTTCACGCTGGATATCCAGTGAAGCTTTTCAGCACAATATGTCCAACTCCATTCATTCCATACGCTATAAGACAATTTGGTTGTGCTAGCGGCGTGATGGTGACAGCATCTCACAATCCAAAGGAAGATAACGGTTACAAAGTAAGCTACTTATCGTTTTTTACTATTATTGTAGATACCATACAAAAATCTGCAACTACTATATACAAAAGAAGATTGCAGATAATCAAACTGACATACTGATGTCATAAATTACTGTATTTAACGTTGAAGTAGTCACAGGACTGTTGTGATGCGAGTAGTAGCATGGAGCTATTTGTTATTGGTCGCCAATATAGTAAAGATACATTGTTTACACTGTTTAGTGTTTCTTTGTGTGTATTCTCCGTTCGTGCACAAATACTTTAGTGTATAAACCTCCTAACGAGAGTTAAGCCAGTATAAGCCAGTCAATTTTATATGGTAGTAAATTTTTTATCTTCCAAAATCAAGATCTTGAGGAAGCTTCATTTCTCATTCAGTGATCATCATCGCTAGAGAATAACAGATCGCTTCCTGTTCGGAACTTTTTTGGGCTAACCGGAATAGAGGAATTAAAGTATCCCAATCTTTATTATCATCAGCGACGAAAATTTAAAAATATTGACAAACAGTTCTATTATATCTTTTGACCATTCCATCTTATTACGAATGGAGAGGCGTAGTATGTCTTTTCCTATAACCCAATATCTTCCCATAAATCTGATGCCAAATTTTGTCATTGATCATAATGTAACTCTAAAAACTCTATGTCTTTATACACTGTGTTTTATGAATGCTTCTGCTACTGTAATCGCTTCTTGATTAAGAAGGGGTGCAACTTCAGGTCATTTTGAAAAATATTCTGTTGCGACCATTAGATAATTATTTTCTTTCTCTGCCATCGAAAGTGGACCGAGAATATCTACTGTAAGTCGTTCAAAATGCTCTCCGGAAAGATATTGTTCCATTTTACGGCGACTTCTTGTTCTAGGACTTTTTCTATATGGAAAACATCTTAAGTGATTATGTCCAAACTACCATTAGAAAATAAACTTCTTATTTATCATAAAAATCATAAAACTCATGTGGGACTATCGGGATTGCACAAGCAAGTCAAATATCTCTATTATACAAAGAGGTCAATCCAAAATACTCCGCTGGATAACAGATGCACTATGCACAATACACTGATCCTGGATTAACTCAAGCCGTCTCAAAACTTTCTGTTACTGTATCAGCTCAGCAGAAATAGCAGCATACATAGCAAGTATAACAGCCCTATATACCTTAGGATATAACTTTATACATGCGGAATTTGAATTTATAGCTGATCCACCATCAATTTCAGCTATTAATTTAGATGTTAAGCTTACAGCTTAGTTTTTAACTAAAAATGGTAGAGTTATATAAAAATCTGATATAACTAATGAATATGGAATAAAGGAATCTATATTTTGATTTTTTGAGACCTCAACACTCTTTATTTCAATACTTCAGCCAATAACGGGAATACACCAAAAATATGCATAAACGCCTACAAAATAAGACTAATGTTCCGAAAAATGTATTAAGGCAAGTTAAATATCTTACATAAAGTATTAAGCGCAATAAAAAGCTAAGAAAAAGGAATACTTAGAACGAGAAAGGGTTGCCTATGCACAAATTGACTGGAATGACTTTGCAGTCGTCGATATTGTTGACTACCAACCCTTCTAAATTGAAAATTTTCCGGCTCCAACTACCCCTGAAGATGTCGGAGCCCATATCTTATTTCAAGCGAGAAAAGAAGAATCGAAATGCATCGACATAGTGATGAGGAAGGACCACCAGTTACGGAAGCTGGTTTAAGTAGTAAAACGGTCAAACAATTATTTTAGATGGATAAGCCTTGTTGCTCATATTGAAAGCGTCGTCGGGAGTGGGTATGAACACGAATGATAGAATTATAACAGTTTGGCAAAAAAGCAAAAAAATACGGAATGTTACAAAACTGCACATTTAAATGGGTGTTATAATGGGTGTTTCAATCAATCTTAACCAGAGCTTTATAAAGGAATGAAATTACGCTATAAATTAGGTATATCAAATTCTTATATAAACCAAACTATTAAAATTAACATGAGTACCTATATAACCTATACAGAGTGGTGAATCGTCAAACGGGCCATAGGAAACATAATGGGAAATTCTAAATTGTTGAATTCCTGCTTCCCTAATTATTTTACACCAAAAGTCATGGGAAACTATTTGTAGAGGACTCAAATATGTATCGAAAACAACTGTTAAAATTATTCTACGACTTAAACGTATTCCAAAATTTTGCTAAAATATAATACATTTTTCTGTGAAAAAATGTGTATTATGTGTTGCGTTTTGTCATATTATTGTTTCTGATATTTGACAATATTTAAATCAATTATATTACATTTATCTATAATTTAAATGGCCAAAATTTTGTGATTTATTGTTAAAAAAAAAATTAAATTAAAAAATGTACTCAGTTGAGGAGAAAAAAGCAATAATAAAAATGTTTTATTCATGTTTTATTATAACATTTGTTATAGTTTTATGTTTAGAAATTATCATATATTATTATTAGGAATAAAGATCACAGTAACAGTATATTGGAATTCACTAAATTGTTGTATAACCAAAGACCATCTACTCCACTTCTATCCATCTCTACTACTTGATGTAAATGGTCTTTGTGTACAACTTAACTTAATTAACATGGAATTAAATTTTAGTGAATATCTTACGATAAATAAAGATCCGGTAGTGGCAGAAAAAGGTTTGCGCTATTGCCTGTATACAACATTATGCGATTTTTCGTCAACTGAGTACATTTTATTATATTGATCGATTTGTAAACAATATAATTTATTGTTCACAAAGTAATAATGTTCATTAGTACTTGTGTTTGTATATCGTGAGTAGTAGTATTGAGTAAAATTCATTGTTTATAATTTAATCAAAAAATAAAAAAATTGACAATTCAAATTGTCAAACATCTGACATTAATATGATAAAACACAGACGTCCTAATATATATTCTTGCATTACGTGTGGCCCAACTTTTAGGGGTGGCCTGAAAAATGTATTATATTTTTGCAAAATTTTTAAGTACATTTGATTCGTAGAACGGTTTTAACATTTGCTTTTAATTCAGATTTTAGTCCTCTACAAAAAGTTTTTTATGACTTTTGATCTAAAATAATTAGGGAAGCAGCAATTCAACAATTTAAAATTTCCCATTGAGTTTCCTATGGCCCGTTTGACGATTCACCACCCGGTATATAATAAGTTGAGAAAGTTCACAAAATGACATATTTGGGAACTGTGATAACGGACCAACTATATCCAGACATAGAAATGAAGCGTAGAATAGCAATGACTAAAGCTACTTTTATGAAAATGAAGTCATTTCGTTGCAACAATCATCTCAGTTTAGAACTAAGACAAAGAATGGTTAAGTGTTATGTTTGGTCCGTACTTTTGTATAGTGCTGAAGTATGGAAGCTAAAAGTATCGATCATAAACAAAATTAAAGCATTAGAAAGGTGGGTACATCGACGAATGCTGAAGATGCCTTGTACAGCCAGAAAAACTAATGAAGAAGTACTAAGGAGCGTCAACAAAGACAGAGAACTGCTAAAGACTGTTAAACATCGAAAAATGTCTTATCTGGGATATATAGTAAGGGAAAGTCGATATAAAATTTTACAACTGATCCTTAAAGGCAAAATAGAAGGCCGTAGATGTGTAGGAAATCGTACACAACGTGGACATCTACAAAAGCAAACATGGACAAAATCATAAAAACCCAAAGAGCAATGGAAAGACAAATTTTGCACATAAGACTAATGGATAAGAAGAGAAACGAGTGGATAAGAGAGAAAACAAAAGTGAGGGATGTTAGACAAGAAGTTGCAAAATTAAAATGGAGATTTGCCGGACACAATATAAGACAAAAAGAAGACCGATGGAACAAAATTCTTATGAGTTGGAGGATAAGGGGAGGAAGGCCCCAAATGAGATGGGCAGATGATATCAAGAAGCACGTGGGCTCTAGATGGATGACTGTAGCGATAGACAGAGAAGAATGGAAAAGGAATGGGGAGGCCTATGTCCAAAGATGGACCGAAGAAGGCTAATTAGATAGATAGATAGAAGGAAGAAAACAAGTTTCTTGGTTAAAAAATCCATTGGTCCATTCGTGAATGGACTCAGATACCAAATGCAGGAAAATCCATATTGCAGAAGATCGAGAAGCCAATGGTGATCGCCAACGTCAGATAATTCTGATATGACACGGGAAGAAGAAGAAGACCTATATAACCAAAAAAAAATAGTAAACAAAATAAAATCGTGAAAAAAACTGTATTTGTTAATTTTGGTTAACAATGATAGCTGACAATAACAACCTAGAATTTAAATAAATTGCGGATACGAGATCTGTTAAAAATAAGAGATATTTCAATAAATGAATATTAATTATTATTTAAAAATGAAAAATGAGGCTATGGACCACAATTTTTCAGCGGGCAAAGCTTTTTGGTTCCTTAAAATAAATGGACTTTTTAATTACATATAACTTTATGATCAATGAAATAAATAAAAACTTAGTCATAAAATAAATTATATATATATATTTCTAATTTAACTACCAAAAACTGTCGTTTACTGTCCTTTCAATTCCATCTCGAAATTTAGAGGTCAACATTGCAAATTCTTTTACCTCTAGGCCATATGTCGTGGAGCGTGCTTCTTAAAAAAAGGTATACACAACTCTTTTTAAAAGTAAGTCAAAAAGCCAATCTTATCTGGTCAACTTAAAGAAACAATGAAATAGAAGAGGTAATAATGACTTGAAACTGTGGCATTTTAGAAGGATAATTCTTGGTATAGTTTCACAAGGTCTGTTAAAACCAAACAAAGAAGAAATCTTGGATGACTCCAGAAATCTTTTACTTCATGGAACGCAGAAGGTTAATTAAAGGAAATAAAGATGAGTATAAGAAAATGCAGGCTTACGTCAGAAAAAAAATAAGAGAAGCTAAAGAAAAAGAAGCTGTAGGGAAATGTAAAGAAATAGAAAGACTACTAGCTAAGCATGTACA